CGGCAGACTGAGCGTTGCAAAGTTCCGCCAGTATGCTGGTGAGCAGTACACCTGAAGATGTCGAACTACCAGTGGTTCGGTCGGACGGATAGAAAATAAACTTTACAACAGAGGGAAAGGACAAATTGTTATCGAAAAACACTCGTTCGCCCCTCTAGTTTGTGTGATCCTGTGGCGCGTAATTGGAACTCCAAATTTCTTGAGTCAGTCGACGCTATTTTACTCAGGACATCTATTGCTTATGCACCAAAGAAGTTGACCAAAGACGTCTATCCACTTCCTTAGTGCTCTCAATTGTGCTTTGTTTTTGCGCTTTTCTGTTTGCTCTACACCATACATATATTGTGTCCACAATAGGTGAGTTGTTAACACCTCGCTGCGGTGGAGTGAGTTCATCGATTACAAGATGAAAAAAACAAACTCTACCTACCCTGAGTCTGTCCACAACAGATATGGGGGCGACCCATTGCTGCGAGCTCAGATCGCCATCCTCCAAACCGGCTTCGTTAAGAGGAGCGGGCGCTGCATGCTCGGAACCGGAGAGCTCAACAAGACTGAATATCCTGGCACCGGTTTCGTCGATATGTGGCGCAGGGAATTCCGAAGTATTTCGGTTGAGATAGTCCAGTGGATTAAGCCAACAAGTAATCCCACGGTCGAGGAACATATGAGGTGAGGTGGCTCGGAACTTGGCACGAAGGTGTTCCATTGTGAGGGCAGGTGTTGGATCGTTGACTACCCAAGGATGTTTGCTGATCTGTTCCAAAGTGTACCGTTTCTTGAAAGTGTGTGAAAAGAGATGAACGTACCAGGTGTGATTATCAGTAGCCCGAGTAAAGAATTACTGTGATCTTTAAAAAAAAGACGAGCCAAGCAAAGGATCAACAGCTTCCGTCCCTACGGTAGACCGCCTTTGAGAGGTAACAGTGGCTAGTAAGTTTCGTTTGTGAATATCTCAGACTGAGCGTGGTGGATAAAAAGTGACATCATGTTTCGAAAGGTGGATAGGAAGTTGGAAAATCACAGCCTAGTTTATTTTACGTATCCGAATAGCGGTAACATGTTTACTTTGACACTTAGTCTTGACAGGAAACTGACCAAGGGGTCTCAGCTCGATTTCGCTTTTGTTGATCAACACACAATGAACTTAGCCAGTTGTCTCCGCCTACCTTCCCCTAAAATGGATGAAATGCATCCAGAATAAGTTGTATCAAGACCAAACCTGAGCGGCCAGACTTCGTGACAAAGTCTACCCATGGTGGGGACATGACCGCATCAATTTAAAACCTTACGGTCAAATCGACAAAAGCTCAAATCTATTAGCAATACACAAACTTATGTCATCTCAATTTGTTGATATGGTCCACAGATCCATTGCAACAATAGCTGTAGCACCCTTTCGGTGCCTAGCTGCCACGCCACTCAAAGGAAGCACGAGGGCTGGGATATTGCCAGGTTGCCCAAGCCTAGACAGGGGAAGTCGAGAGGCAGAGGTCGGGTTCGAACCACGGGCCTTTCGGACAGTAAGTTCGCGCTCTAACGAGCGAGCCATCTCACCTTCATGAGTCATCCAGGTGAGGTTTCATCACACCGACGGACCTACAAAACGCCTTCGCCAAATTACAATTTCGGGTCTCGCGCTCTAACCACCGAGCCATCTCACCTTCATGAGTCATCCAGGTGAGGTTTCATCACACCGACGGACCTACAAAACGCCTTCGCCAAATTACACCCGATTTCGGGTCATTTTTCATTGACAAGTGTGATTCGCCTTCATTATACTTACTGTGGGAAACGCGCTCAATGGCTCAACCACAGTTGACCGGCAGATCTGCTTTGCATACCACCTACAGTCAGTAAATTCACGCTCTAATCACTGAACCATCTCGAGCTTTTGCACTAGTGTGAAACACTCGCTATGCATAATTTTCTATGACCCTTTCCTGAGATAAAAGATGATTCCAAATCAGCATCTCAGGACTGAAATTGGGTTCTTTCCTACAGGTGTCATGCCTGCCAATTTTCAGTGAATCCGGTCCGTCAATATAGGTCGCTGATGATGGTATGGCTCCGTCGCTGAGCTCATATGACAGGAGACATTATGCGTGAAGTAGTAACACACCTTTCCGCTCTCTGGTAGTTCGGGATTGATAGATCTCCACACGTTTCGTGAATGCAACCCGTGACCGTGCTTGAACAAACCAGTACAACCTGCGAAATTAGTCACGAAGAGACTGGACCTTATCGTGGTGTGGCGGTTTGTGTACCTCGGCGACCCATTGAGCTATACTGGGGGGTGTCCGCGCGACACTCACAGA